CTCTCTCTCTCTCTCTCTCCCTCTCCCTCTCTCTCCCTCTCTCCCTCTCCCTCTCTCCCTCCCTCTCTCTCTGCCCCCTGGTGCCACGTCCTGAGCTGCCTCCCTCCACCACACCCCTCTGCCTGATGCTCAGGGCCCCGGGCAGTACCTGCTGGCCAGGAACATGGAGAGGAAGCAGGCGAGGGGACTGGCCACCGAGCTGAGGGTGGCCGACAGGTGGTAGGCCACGGGCCCGTAGGGCAGGCAGGAGTAGGTCTGCACGGAGGGCAGCACGCCGTTGGTGAGCGCGTTGACGAAGGCCACCAGGGTGTAGATGAAGGCCAGCTGGGCCGGGCGGTGGGCGGCCGGCTTCTCCTCCCGATGCCCCTGTCTCCTGCGGATGACCACGGGGCCTGGGGGGCCTTCGTCCTTCCCCTCCCGAGGCTGGATGGAGTGCAGGGTGACCTGGGAGTGCAGGAGGTCCTCGATGGAGCCCTGCCGGCCCCGGGCCTGCTGCTGCAGCAGGAGGAAGGCCAGGAGGCAGCCGGCCATCATGGAGGCCAGCAGGAGGAAGAAGACCAGCGGCGAGAAGCGCGCCGGGAGGTAGCGGCTCTCCAGCCGGCCCAGGGAGCCGGCCCTCCCGGTGGGGACCCAGGTGACAGCACTGGGGATGCTGCGGACTCCCTGGGGAGGAACAGAGCGGTCAGCCACGTCCCCGGGGGGTCAGCGCGGATGACACCAAGACCCCCCGAGCAGAGAGTGGATTATTATCATGATATAAATTATCCTGGATGATTATTATCAATAATTGATAAATGTTATGGCGGATTCCAAAACCAAATCTGACCCCAGGGACTCCAGATCAGCCCCATCCACAGGGAGCCTGGCCCCAGGGCCGTGGTCCTGCTGGTGCTGGGGCTCAGGACACACCACCCCAAAACCTGACTGTGACAGACCAGACTATGCCACCCGTTAGGGCTGGATTTGGAATGTGGCCCGAGGGCTCATGGTTAAGGCTCAGTCCCCAGGCCCCAGTGTCCAGAGGAAATGGCTGGGTCCTGCGGGCTCCGACCCGTCCACTGACGGCTTCCTGATCTAAAGGGACTGTTGGGAGGCGGTGGAGGCTAGGAGGTGCCACCTAGTTAAAGGAAGTGTGTCCTTGGGGGCCATATTTTGTCCCCAGCCCTTCCTCCCTCCCTCCCTCCCTCTCTCTTTCTGGCTGCCCTGAGCTGGGAGCGTCCCTCCATGGCCTTCTTCCCCCAAGACCTGCTGCCTCCCCTCGGGCTCAGATCCGGCCGACCGAGGACTGAATCCTCTGGAACTGTGAGCCAGACCCAACCTTTCCTCTTTTAAAAAAGCATTCTTCTTGGGTAATTTGTCACAGTGACCCACAGCTGACTAATGCACGACCCCAAAATAGACCCCTGTGGCACGGGTTGTTTTGAGCTGGTTATTTTGAGAAACTGGAGACAGGGGAGCAGTTCCAAAATGATTTGATGTGTAGAGGACATTTACAACTCAAAAGGACATTTTCATTAGTAAAGGCATCCGTTCCAGGAAGAGACAGATGACAGCTCTCATCACCTGAGACGTCTGCACGAGGGACAGGGACAGGGTCCCTCCCACACTCCCCCTCTGGGCACTCTCCTCAACTCGCCTCTCACCCCACCCCACCCAACCCCTTCCTCTCCGTAGCTCCAGCTGCTACCTAAGCTCCCCATCTTTGGCCCTTCTTTAAGTCTCATATTTTTGTGACACTCCCGTGCGTGTGTACGTCATTCGAATGACCTTTCTGCTGCCAACCAGACTCAGGTCACTTTAACCTGTGGTCCTGCCAAGGAGCCCACCGGGAGCCATCTTTCCTCCCCGTATCCTCAGGGCCAAGCTCAGGGCTGCAATGGCTCCGGGCCCCGCTGGGTACCTGAGTGACGTAGGTCTTCCTGGAAGTCACAGGGCTGGAGGTCGTGACCGATGTCTCCGTGATGTTGACACAGGAGGTGATGCCGGAGCCCTGGGCAAGAGCCACCAGCGCAGGCAGGAGGCCACTGAACCCTTCGCCCACAAAGAAGGTGGTGAGGTAGTGGGTGGGCAGCCGGCTCATGAAGGGCAGGAAGGTGACGGAGGAGGTGCAGTCCACCAGGGCCAGGAGGAAGGTGAGGACGATGAAGGCGATGCTGTGCTGGCCGCCCAGCACCCAGGAGGTCATGTTCCAGAGGAAGGCGAAGAGGACGCAGGCGACGGTGCCCACAACCAGCACAGCGAAGACCACGGGCACCTCAGGAAGGCAGCCAGGCCGGAAGTGGTGCAGCAGGGTGACCAGCAGGGGGCCGACGTTGGCCAGCTGGATGACCACCGTGAGGTAGGAGGGCAGGTACCAGCCCTCGGGCAGCTCCGTCACCAGCAGGGGCAGCTCCACCCAGAGCCCATTGATGGCCACCCAGGAGCCCATGCCAAAGACGCAGACCAGCAGGTGGGTGAGGGCGGCCATGGCGGGTCTGTCCCGGGTCAGAGGCCACTGTGTGTCCAGGTCCGTCTGTGATGGGCTAACAGAGGAGGACACCAGGTGAGAGAGCTCAGAGTCAAGTTCATCACCAAGCAAGAGATGGTGCTTTGGGGTTCAGGGTCCCCCCGCCCTTACTTTTCTCCCAGTGAATAAGTTTGCTTTGTATCAGCGGAAAACACAAATGCATTTATAAGTAGCCTCTGAATAAGGTTTTCTTAAGCACAACTTGTAAATCCAGGGACCACAAAAGAAAAGTTTGAGACATTCACAGGAGTAAATGTTCACGCACACACATGCAAAAAACAACAACAAAAAAAACCTGCAAAAAGTCCAAGGGTGGCCGGGTGTGGTGGCGCACACCTGTAATTCCAGTGGTTCAGGAGGCTGAGGCAGGAGGATCTCAGGATCAAGGCCARCCTCCGAAACTTAGCAAGACACTGTCTCAAACAACAAAACCCCAACACCTCCCCCTACCAAAACAAGGACGTGGGCAACATAGTACAAGGTACATAGGCTCATGTTTCTAATTCCTAAAAAGCAGTATTACCATCAAGAACAAAAGACCCAAGAAAGGAGGGGGCCAAGGATAGGATCTAACAGCTTAGAGGAAAGGTACCAGGAAGTCTGGGATGCAGGAAAGATGACCACTCTCTTGCAATCTGGAAAATGAATGCAAGGTGCCATTTCTCACCGTGAGATTGTCCCACAGCCAAAGGTCACCTGCGCTGAGTGAAACGACTGATGGACAAGGTCAGCGTTCGCTGCCCCCTTGCAACAGCGAAAGGTGGGAGACGGCAGCAGAGGCCAGGGGAGGCTCAGTGACCTGCAGGGACAGCCCACCTGGGCAGGCTGAGGACGGGGGAAGGGGGAGGTCTCCCCAGCGACAGGCAGAGGTCTCAAAGGGGGCAAATCCAGGGGGCAAAACCCCAGATAGGGGAGGAGGAAGGACGTGGTCCACGCTGTATTTGCCTAAAGTGACCTGACACCCGCAGTCCCTCAGTCCAGATCTTTCAGTGTTGTTCTTGTTTTTTTTGTACTGGGCATTGAACTCAGGGACACTTAACCCTGAGCCACATCCCCAGCTCTTTTTTTATATAGAGACAGGGTCTTGCTAGGTTGCTGAGGGCCTCACCAAGTTGCTGAGGCTGGCTTTGAACTTGTGATCCTCCTGCCTCAGCCTCCTGAGCCACTGGGATGACGGGCGTGTGCCACCCTGCCTAGCTATCTTTATGTGGCTTTAACTTGTGAGCTAGGCAAACATATTACCTAACACAAAAAACATGGTTACCTGGAATAAAATTTGAATCTGGCTTTTTTTTTTCCCCTCCTGAAATTACAGGTCTCTGTAGCTGGACAGGGTTTTGGAGATCACCTCTGCCAGCCCCCAGCACCCGTGTGCTGCTATCTGTGTACCACCTGCTCACCCAGCATCACCCCACTGGAACTCTTAGAAACACCCTTCAATCTAACCTTAGTCTGAGCCCAAATATTAGAGAGCTCAGGAATGAGGTTCTGCAGCTGCTGCCTGGACTTGACCTCAGCTCCTGTTACTTCCTGGCTGGGTGGCCTTAGGTAGTTGACTCTGCCTCTCTGGGCCTCATCGCCCTCACCTGCCCTCTTGTGGTCTTCAATGAGATGCAGACGCATCAGTGAGTTCATGCCTGGCACACTTTGGGCATGCGCTAAGGGTAGCTACTGCTGCTGAGAAATCCCAGGTTTGGTGACAAGAGTTGTTTGCTTTGAATTTACATGAAAATTAGCCCATGATCCTTAAAAGTAAAACAGGATAACGTTCCCTGGAGGGGCTCTGAGCTGGGACATGGGATCTGGAGCAAGCTCGGCCTGAATCCCTCCTTCCAACAGCCCTATCCCGGTGACCACGCCTCACCCAGGAACCTCCAAGACTCTGGCAGCCCCTCTCCTGGGTCCCAGAGGCCCAGAGGCTACCAGATCTGCTTCCAGCCTGCTCCGTGGCCTCCATTCTGGGGGCCTCGGGGCCTCCATTCTGGGGGCCTCGGGCCCCCCACAGGTCACTAAGCTGTGTTCTCCCAGGCAGGAAGCAGGCGCAGAAGCACAGGCTGGGCCTGGCACCTGTCTGCCAAGTGGACCCAGGAGAGAGGGAGGCCCCAGGCCACCCCTGCCCGTTCCTGCTGTCCTTCCCAGCCTGGCCACCCTCTGTCATCCCGGCTTCCTGCAAGATCCTGCCCCAGAAAATCACATCTGGCTGCCCAGCCTCCCCGGGTCCCCCCACCCCCAGCCCCTGGCGTCTGTGTTGATGGTCTTGCTCTGGTGACACAGACAGATGCCCGGAGTCGGACGCTCCAGGAGGCAAGGGGCTGTTCTGTGACCTGGCAGGTTGAAGGTGGAGGGCCCTGCCCCATGATCCAGCTCAGGGTGGGCAAACCGGGAACTGGCTGGCGGAGCCAGTCAGCAGACCTGTGATTTGGATCCGCTGAGTTTGAGAGGATCCTCCGCTGTCAGCCACAAGTCAGGGGCGGGACTTCAAACTTCAGGGCTTCTGGTTTATCAGGAATATTCTGGAAGACCTGTCTACACACGTCTTTATGCCCAGGTGGCAATAATAATCCTTCTTGCTTTCTTGAACCTAGGCTCCCCCACTGACCTCCAGAGGAACTGCAATCCCTGCTCAGGCCCCCATCTTGCTGTCTGGAGCCCAGAGGTGAGGACCAGAACTCTAGCAGCCACTTTGTACTAGGAAGGATGGAGAGGGGCTAGACGGAAACTGGACTCCCTTGGGATTTTTGGAGTCGGGAACACATCGCAGCCCTGCTCGGCCTTTGCTGAACTATCTTGTTTGCTTCTTTAATGTAGTTGAAGCTCTTAAACTTCCGTCTTGTCTGCCACTTATTTTACCTACAGCAAAACACTGGCTACGGGTACAGAGACACAGGTTCCAGGAGGCACATGGCTGATTTTGATAACCACAGGCTGATAAGTACATCGACCCCTTTGGGGCCACCCATGTCCTGATGCGGGAACTCAGGTCCTCTTGCAATCTGAATGTGATCAAAAATCAAGACCTGACCAACGTCGTGGCTGAGACACACCTTTAAAAGACGCTGCAAGGTTCCCAGTAAACTTGGACCTCGGGGACAAAGTCTTCCAGAGAAATGCAAAAATAGAGAGAAAGGAGGGGGCTGGGGGAAGAACAAGGCGCCCCCTGTGGAACCTGGTGGCAGAAGTTTAAGTTGGCACTCAAGAGTCATTCCTGGGTGACACCGATCCCTCCCTCTCTGTTCTGAAGAGCACTTCTCCAAGTGACCTCAGCCCTGCCCGGGGGTGCGATGGAGCCACAGGAGGGTGGCGAGGCTGACGAGGCTACTCCAGCGGTGACAGCAGAAGGGACCAAAGCCGGAAGGGCAGAGGAGGCAATAAACGATACACGGGACCGGGGGTCAGTAAATAATTACAGGGCGGCGGCAGACGGCGGTGTCCTCCAGGTGGGCGCTCAGCCAGGGCCGTCACACTCGGCAGCCCTGGGCTGCTCTCCTGCGCAGCTGCGGGAGGAGCCTGGACTCACCCAGACGCTCAGGTCCCCGGCCTGCAGCCCCGCCCCCTACGTCTGGGTTCTGACCTGGCATCGCACAGCGGTGGCCTCTGAGGGAGTCATTGGCTCCTCCCGGAGACTCCCTAGTCTGGCGCAGAGGTGGTGGCCACCCGTGTGCCTCCTGTCCCCTGCCCTGGCGCACTCCCAAGCTATCTCCTGCTCCTCCAAGGTGCTATGTGCCCCTGGCCTGGAGGACACAGGGAGGGACAGCCGCCACTTACAGCAAGGGGATGTCCCAGGTAGAGGGGTCCGGCTGCTGCAGAGATCTGAGGCCTAGATCCGAATAACTGGCACTTTGAAAGAGGAACCTGGGGCTGGGGCTGGGGCTCAGTGGTGGAGCTGAGCGCAGCTGCCTTGGTTCCATCCCCCCCCACACACAGAGAAAAAATAAATATTTTCAAGTGGCCGAAGTTCTTGCTGATTTACTTAACAGAKAATTTATTGGTGGTGCACTATGAGCTGGACCGCAGCCATGCTCTCAGGAGTACCCAGGAGCCGGTCAGCAGGGCAGGAGCCACAGGGAAGAGCAGTTGGCAGGGTGCCCCTGAGGGTCCAGGGTGGAGATGGCAAGCACAAAGGCCCTGGGGTGGGGCCTCACCTGCCACGACCCAGAAATAGATTTGGGCATTTAAAGATCAGCTGGGTGGGTGGCCATTGTGGATGCCGCCAAGCGGGATCAGGGGGGCACCCAGGGCTTGGGGTGAGAGCTTCAGTGTTCTCTCTGGAGCCCACAGCCCCTTTCCAGGGCCGAGGAGGACCGGCTCTCACTTAATGTTTAACACGCTGGCTGTGGTCAGGATGATCACAAAGAGCCAGGGGCACAGCAGGGGAGAAGCCTGTCACCCTGAGAGAAAGCTGCTGAAATCCTCCCGGTGAAAAAGAGAATCAAATAGCCCAGGCTGGCAGGGGCGGGCTGCATTAGGCCGTTGGGGTGCTCATCCACCACGGCTCTTGACAGTCCCGAGGTGGGCAGCAGGATGGTCTGCAGCCCCCGGAGGAGGAAACTCAGGCTCAGGAAGGGAGGGTAATTTCCCTGAGGATGCACAGCTGACAGCTGAGGTTTTCGGCCTTCAGAGCAGCCTCCTCACGGGGTTGAGAGGCCTGGGGGTGCAGGTGGGAAGAGACCAGGGCCAGGCTGAGCAGGGCTTTCTACCCTCTGCAGCCTCCTTAGCACTTGGGTTGGGGAGAGGAGAAAGGGGGACAGGCTCGGGAGAGCCCAAGAAAGCCCCGAGACATCGCCAGATCCCCAGGATCCAGTGGGCAAGCTCTGAGGACGGTGACAGAGACCCTCCAGATGGCCCTCCAGCCTGGGTGGCAATGGAAGCCTGAGGGGCAGCCCAGGCCCATGGGCCTGTGGCACTATCTACATTTTTCCTGTGGGGGGACTGAACCCAGGGCCTGGCGCGTGCCCACAAGC